CTCCCCCCCGTTTGTGCCGCCGTTGTAATGCAATTTTATTTCATTTCATTGAAGGCAAAGTTTTCCCTTCGAATTCTTTTACTTAACTTCTTCTTTCTTCCCTTCTTTCCTTCTTTCCACTTTCCACTTCCCTCACACATCACCACCATTCTTTACCGCCCAAAGATTTCTCCCTCTGACTTTTCCATGGCAGGGACAAATTTGCCATTGCCTAACCCACTAAGACGATGTATGCAAATCTTTGATGTAAGTAATAATTTCCTTCCTGTATGAGGGCGGAGGGGGGCTGCCAACACAAGAAAAGAAGTGTAAAAAATGTACGAATATATATATATATAGGGAAAAGCAAAGCCAACCAAATGGCAGATGAAACTTTGCGATTGTAAATTATGAGCGTGTGAATATTGCTTTTAGCATTTGCAAAAGTTCCGGCACTGATTTGCCAAATTCGGCAAACGTCAACGGATAAATCATGGGCGCTTGTAGGTTGGTTGTAGGAATCTAGGATATATATATATATAGCATAACCCAAGAAAAGGAGAAGCCAAGGAGAAGAATTCAATTGGGCCAAAATAATTAATGGAATCAAGGGAATTTATCGCCGCCTTGGGTGGTAAAAACACACACAAAAAGGTTTAACAAAAATTTGCATGACTTTGAAGATCCTAAACTGGTAATATGAAAATTCAATTAAAAAGCTTTAAAAAGGTACTTCTCGTTTACACCTTTTAATCAAACGAATTACCAGCAAATATAGTCAGTAAATAGACAAGACAAGGAGAAGTTCCCTTTTCCCATAACTTTTCTGACTGTACCTCCTTCCTTCCTCCTGGTAGCATATCAAAAATCCACCAAACTTCGCCATGTAAACAAAGTTATTCACAGCTGCTGTGGATTTCATTAGGAATACAACAACACAGCGCACGCGTTCAAGTTTCTTGGCAACAATATTCAAGCCAAGCAAATGCTATAAAATCAAACACTAACTGGCTTATATCAAAGCTTTGGCTAAAAGGGTAATTGAAGAGCTAACCACCAAAAAACCAAATTAATTAAAACCTTTACAAAGCGAGGAGAGAGAGAAGCTATTTCTGTATAAAAGTTCATAATAGAAGAAGGTTTTTTAAGGGGGGAGTTAAATCACTGTAAATTCACACAAAAGAACTAAGGGTTAACTTTGATAGAAGCGGAAAAGGGTTAACCTTTAAAGTTTAACAAATAATTAAATACTAAAGTTTATAAATCCAAAACAAAAAAGGCTCAAAATACACATTAAATATATTTCATATATAGAAAAAAAACTTATCTAGATTCAACCTTCAACTTAGCCAAAATGGTAACAAGTTTTTATAAAAATATTTGTTTAAAATTGATAAAAACCAAAAAATATAAACGTAATTCCCCCTCTGCTGACCGGCACAGATACGAGCTGACAAACCGTAAACGATTAACGAATCCAGCTTGTTCAGATTTAGGCCACTTCCGGCATTCTAGCATTCTAGCCCATTGGCCAATCGATGCCGCTGGCTTAAAGCCAGCCGTTGGCTGACCTGGGACTGGCTTTAAAATGCAATTTTGAAATAAACTGCAATCCACTCGAATGCGGGTTTGGTCGACTACTGTTGTCCACCGCCCTTCTGCCTTAGTTACCCCCCCTTTAGATTGCTATTTTTACCCCCATTTGCACCAAAAACTGCAACCAAAACCACCATCTGCCTGCCTGCCTGCCTGCCTGTCCCCTTCTTGCCCGTGGACATTTTCGCACTCGCATAACTTTGACAGCATTTTTGCAGAATTACAATTAACTGCCTAGCCTCGAATGGGCAAAGAGGGGGAGTGATTCCCCCTTTGGTTAAAGGTTCTGGGGGCTGCCTAGTGCCTACTGCCTGCTGCTGGCTGCTGGGACGACAAGCCAGGAGCAGCAGTTGCAGCCTAAAAGTAGGCAACCACACTCACAGACGAACACTTGGTGTGTGCGGGAAAGTGATGACAATTTAAAAAAAAAAACAAAAAATATATTCCAAAAATTTCTGATATTTTAAATCAAGAAAAACCAATTCAGAAAATTACATTTTCCTGGTTCTTAAGAGTGATGTTGTTTTGACAAAGGAATTTTCCTTGTTCAATGGGAAAAGGGTATTAAATTAGTCAAAGAATTACTAAATTCTTAAGAATGAAGAATCTCTTAGGATTAAAGTACGAAAACTGTGAAAGAATCAACCCAAAATATACAATTTTTATACATAAATATGTAAAAAAAATAACTGAAATAAAGAAGATTAAATTAAATAATTAAAAATAAACCTGAAAAGCAACAAAAGTTAGTACAAATTCAAGATAAAAGAGAAGCTCTTTGAGTTTTAAATTGGAATAAATATTAATTACCTTTGCAAAGGGAAAATCTGATTAAACGTCAGGATATTTATAACAAGCCAAGTTGTGTCTTTGTTGTCCTTTTTTTGGTGGGCGGCATATCTTGTTCGATTCGATTTGTCCTGTTTTTGAAATGGGTCGCCGGCATCACTGGTCTGAGAGTGTAAGTGTGCGTTTGTGTGTGTTTGTGTATGGACTTGTAGGAAAGGGTATATGAAGGGGAAATTTGTTCCATTTTACGCTTTCTACACAAAAACAATAAATCGCTCACAGCATCAACAGCGTCAACTTTCCTAATGCAGCGGGTCGGGTCGCTGGCTGTTGGCTGTTGGCTGTTGGATGTTGAACGTTGAATGTTGAATGTTATATGTAGGATGTTGGCCCGTAGGACGTTGCTGATGCTGCTGCTGGTCGGGTCTCGTCCCCTGATGGTAAAAATGGTAAAATGGTAGAATTGTGAATGTGGATGTGGATGCAACCAGGATGCTAGCAATTGAGGCTGAAGCCATTTTAACTGCCACTTGAATGGTAACTACAAAAAAAAAAAGAAAAAAAAAACAAAAAAAAGGGAAATAAACTATATATACTATATATACACATACACACACACACACATATATATATATATACTATATATATGCATGTGTGTGCGCGCGTGGGTAAACGAGTCTTCGGGGGCTAAAACTGTAAATTGTAATTTTCAACTTTTAAGTGGCTGCTACGTGTGAGGCTTTAACCCCTCCGCGCCTTTTCGTCCTGCAACGGACGATGACGAAGAGTTGGCGATGGAAAATGGAAATGAAAATGAAAATGAAAATGAAAATGAAAATGAAAATCAAGATTTAGATCCAACGCCCGCCCAACTTTTCGCGCCCACTTCAGTGTTGACAAATGGTGGCGGCGGCCTTTGTTTGTGGAAAGTAGCAGAGCAGAGTCAGTCAGCCCGTCAGGACAGGATATTATTTTTTAATCACTAACTAACACGGCTTCAACTTTAACTAATATATACTAATACTAGACACATAAAATAGTTAATAGGTTATCTTTAATTTAGGCATATACCTGACCTAACTCACACACAAAGCATGGAGAGCCATGCTGGCCATGGCCAACACATCTCTAGATCTTCAGGCTGAATCGGGTTCTGATTGAGTGGGTCAGTCGTCAGTGGGCGGGAGGGAATGGCCAAGTGAAAGTGAAGTAAACGTGATTGAAATTTTATCTCTGACAAGAAATCGAAAGATATATTTAGCCCCAGCTGTGAGCCGGGTCACAGCACCCCATACCCCCCTACGACACCCCCCATACATCTCAGCCGCAATCTCAACCGCCGCTCACAAACGGGGATTTGGATGTGGATGTGAATGTGAATGTGGAAGTGGAAGTGGATGTGAATGTTGATGGCGATGACGATAGAGAGATGGCTATAGGAATTCTCTGTGTGTGTGTGTGTTTGTGTGTGTTGCCAATTCAATTCTTCAACGGGTTACCCACTGCGGCGTTAACCGTTACGTCGCCATCTTTCTCCTGACTATATACCCCATCGCCTCCCCCTCGTTTGACACCCCCTTCCCTCGTCGTCCTCGTTCACCCCGGCGTTATTTGCATTGAAATGTTGAGTAATTGGAAAACCAATCTGAAGCATCTGCAGTTCTTGTTTTGCATACCTCTGGCACCTTCCTAACCGACCGACCTCGCCGACATTTGTCGGGCAACGCTCGATTTTTCAAACCGAAATCAACGTCGCACAGTCAGTCACAAGAGCGGAATGTAGGGGATCCAGAAGAGCTGAGAGGGAGGGGGGGAGTCAGGATGCAAAAGGTGCACTTGGTACAAAAGTTAACATTTAACAATTTCTCATCATACAAATTTTTATGAACAAACATTGAACTTTACTTAGTAGGTGTTGTTTAAGTAATCATCAAAATCTTTAGTTTACAAAACTAAAATCAAAAGGATTTATAACCCCCCCGTTTTTTCTTTCACTGTACGGATTTGATGGGTGAGTGGGCGGCATGTAGAGGGGGTCGACAGGTTGTTTCGCTCGTGGCGCTCTTCACTTGCTAAAAATAAATTGTTTTTAAATAGCTCGCATCGCTCGACACGCTCTTCGGGTGTCGGCTACAGATACACAGATACAGATACCCCTTATTTACCCTATATAGCATAGAACCCTCAATTCACCACCCACCCCCCTCTTCTACACACACAATAACAAACAACCAACAACAACAACAACAAAGGAAATGAGCATGGAAGAAACAACAGAAGGCCAAAAGGCTGACAAAAGCCAGCAATGAACGCGCTTCCGTTGAATGCTTCCTCCCACCGATTCCTGAACCTATTTGTTACCAATTTTGTTCAGATATATATATAGATATAGATATATATATATATGTATGTATGGATGTAGGTACAGAAGAGGAATATGTACCAGTTTTCTATCTGCTGGTTTGTGTTTTGTCGCGGAAACTGTCTCAATATGTTGTAAATTATTGAACATTCGATTCTTGGCAATCCTCCTCAGTTGTTTTTCATTTTCATTTCGGTTTTCCGCCTTCAAAGGTAATTGTTAACCTTGTTAACCTTGCTAACCCTTGTTAGATTATAGATATTAATAACTATTATACTAAAAATAATTTCTTTTTTATATTTTTTGCTTTCCCTCTATAAAAATAAAATGTAAAAAATATACCTCCAGGCCATTTGGTATCCAATTTACAGAAATATCTTCAGCGAGAGTATCCATCCATCTAGCAGGGCGGCTTTCGGCTATAGCAATGAGGCTTCCCATAGGGATAGTTAGTGCTAATGCTATCACATGGCTGTCCTGGAGTTCGACTCGGTGATGTGGCAGAAGTGACAGGTGATGTAGGTGATGTAGAAGAAGCAGAAGTAGACCCGCCGGCGCGACTACTTGGTGTTCTCGTTGCTCGGCTACGATTTCGACTGCGAGCAGCCCTTGCTGGTTGCGGAGTTTCGGGCTGACTTTGATTATTACCAACTGAATTCTGGCTATATATCAGTTCATTGAAGGGCATATAGTTATCCATGGATTGGAAACCATGCAGAGAGGCAGCATCTGCATGGGAACTAACGCCTGTGGCCTCAAACTGCGGCATCGAAAGGTCCTCGATCATGGGCTGACCACCACCGGTGGTGGTATTAGAAGCGTCGGCTTTCTTGTTAAAGATTCGAGTCACCGAGGTTTTCGAGCTCTGAACGGTAACTTCCTTGACCACTTCTGAAGGTCCTTTGGTGGTGTCTTTCAGTATAGATGGCATACTCTCATCGGCCAGTTGTTTGCTGACATTCCTGTCCAGCTCCAGTCGTGGGGACTTTGCATTATGCCTCTCAGCTCTCGTCGAACTTGGTAAAGCTGTGGAGTTAAAGAAATCTGGCTGCGTCTGATCATCCAAATTTTCGCATGGCATCGACAATTGATGACGACGCGGTTGATAGGAGACATCCTCAAAGGTTGGCATTGTCACATCCTCCAAGCAAGCAACATTGTCATTCTCCCATGGACGACTTCTCGAGGTCTGCTGTGGACCGGAACACGAACAGTCCGCCGATTTATCTGGCTCATCCCGTCGCGAATGTGCAGCAAACGATGGTGCACTCTCGTTGGCCAACATTTGCGAGGGATAGGAAATGTCCGGTGGACGTCGAGCTATTGATTTAGAATCGTTTCTGGACAATGATGATTCATGCATCGGCATGGAAACATCCTCCAAACACTCGTTTGTCAACTGGGGCAAACATCTTGAGGTCATATGACTGCTAGCAGCAAAACTGGGAGCACTAACATCCTCGAGGCATTCATTGGTGCGACCACGACCTCGCACACCACTCACATTATCCTCCTCACACACCTCACCACTGTACTGGGTTCGATTTGCTAACCCGGAGGGCATACTGATATCCTCCAGGCGAACGCTGTTCATGGTGCTTTGACCATGGCGCTGCCGCGATGACCCAGAGACGTCGCCAAATGTTGGCATCGTCATATCCTCCAGGCACTCATTATTCGTCATCGACATCGAATTGGGCCTTGGGCTTTTACCACGTGAAGGGATAATATTCCTCCTACGACTACTTCCTTGGGAAGTACTCCTCACGAAGGACGGTTCCGTCACATCGTTCAAGCACTCACTTGGCATGGTCATTTGCCTTCGGGATGATCCGAATATTTCATCATACGATGGCATGGTCATGTCATCCAGACATTCGTTGGTCATCATCTCCTGTCTGGATATCTGCCTAGGAGTTCGGCTTCGTCCTGGAAACGAATCTGTATTCCTACTATAGGAAGGCATTGAGACATCCTCAAGACATTCATTCGTAGCTGCAGCACTACGGCTCAAGGTGCCAAACGATGGCATGGTCATATTTTCCAAACATTCATTGGTCATCGGTCCTTGATAGATTTGGATTTGCTTGGGAGTCCTTCCGTGAGACGCTCTTGAACCATCAAGGCATTCATTAGTTCTAGGGCCACGACTTGGACTACCAAACGATGGCATGGTCATGTCATCCAAGCATTCATTGGTCATCGCTTCCATTTTGATGCCTTGCCTTGGCGTAGTACTCCTCCATCCTCTCGATGAATTTGCTCCTGAATTGGATAAATAGGAGGGCATGGAAATGTCGCCAAGGCATTCATTAGTATCAGTTCTACGATTTGGACTACCAAACGATGGCATGGTCATGTCATCCAAGCACTCTGTGGTCTGTGCTCCCTGATTGGATCTTTGCATTGCCATGGGACTCCTTCCTCTGGAAAACCCGGAATTACCTCCGTACGAGGGCATTGAGATGTCCTCGAGGCATTCATTGGTGTTGCGTCCACGATAAGAGTTGCCAAAAGACGGCATCGTCATATCATCCAAACATTCGTTGGTCATCGTTGCTTGTCTTAGACTTTGCACTGGCATTGGGCTCCTTCCTCTGGACGATCCTGTAATTTCTCCAAAGTTTGGCATTGAGATGTCTTCAAGGCATTCGTTGGTAGCATATCCATGACTTGAAGCCCCAAAAGATGGCATGGTCATATCATCTAGGCATTCTTGTCTAGAACTTTGCCTCGGTGTGGGATGACTTCTCCCTCTAAAGGATCCTGTGTTCTCCCTACAAGATGGCATCGTCATATCCTCGAGACATTCAGACGGAAAACTTCTGCTCCTCGTGGCTTGTGTATTTTCAGCAAACGAAGGCATAGTTATGTTCTCGAGACACTCATTAGTATCCAGTGGTGGTCCAGCATACGAGGCAGTCTGTCTTCTGGGCGTCCTCCGACCCGATTGCTGCGAAATGCCACCAAACGATGGCATCGTCTGATCATCCAAGCATTCACTGGTCATCTGCCCCCTTCTTCTCGACGACATCGTTCTTTGCCGTTGGCTACTACTTGCTACTGATATTCCCGTTACTTCTCCATACGAGGGCATGGTCATATCCTCCAAACATTCATTGGTTCTCATGGATTCACATGGATCGCTTTGAGGTGGCTGGGATGTTTTCGTCTGTCGCCTTGAGATACTTTTCCTTCTAGAAGAACTAGAAATCCCACCAAATGATGGCATTGTCACATCCTCCAGAAATTCACTGTTCCGCTTACTTCGCCCACTCCGACCAATTGATCTACTCCTGTCCCGTGCAGACTGGCAAACATCAGAGATATTCCCAAATGTCGGCATACTTATGTCCTCAATGCACTCATCAGGCAAGGCTGTTGTTTGTCTTCTGGAGGGTCCGGAAATACCACCAAAGGACGGTGTACTCATGTCCTCCAGACACTCACTGGGCATGGTCATCTGCTGTCTACGTCCAGAGGCTGCTGAGGAGACTCCACCAAATGATGGCATCGTTATATCCTCCAGACACTCATTCGTTGGCGGGCATCTGGTGGAGCTGGCACATGGATTCTGAGCTGGCAATGTTCTTTGCCTTCTACTAGCACTTCGGGATAGGCTCCTCTCAAAAGATGGGGCACTTACATCGTTCAGGCACTCACTGGGCAAGGTCATCTGTCTTCTGGTCGTAACAGAGACCCCACCCATAGATGGCATGGTCATGTCATCTAAGCACTCGTTAGTCATGGGATGACGTCTGGAATTTGACTTCGATGAATTGGAAATATTTGAGGATATTTGTTGAGATTTCGACTGGCGCTTTCGACTTCGGCTCCGTCTCCTGGAAGTGCTTGAAATTCCTCCAAACGATGGCATCGATATATCCTCCAGGCATTCATTAGTCGTATTACCACCTCGTCCAGAGCTTCCAAATAATGACGGCGCCGATATATCACCGATATTTTGACTCGGAAGCGACATTGGCTGGCGCATGGAACTTCTTCTCCGCGATGAACCCGATACTCCTCCGAAAGATGGCATTGTCATATCCTCCAAGCACTCATCACCATATTTAATAGTGTTGGCAAACGATGGCGCAGATGTATCGCAAATATTCTTGGCCGACATGGACTTCTGCCGGCGACTTGATCCACGCGAACTGCTCCTCCCGAAGGATGGCGCACTAACATCATTCAGGCATTCGCTTGGCAAAGTCATTTGCCTTCCCGATGATCCGGAAACACCACCAAACGATGGCATAGTCATATCATCCAAACACTCGTTCGTCATCCTCCTCGATGGCATGGATCTCAGGTGACGATCAAGACTTTGACTTCTTGACGCCCTTGAAATTCCCCCAAAAGATGGCATCGTCATATCGTCCAGACATTCACTGGGCATATCTTCTCTTCTACTTAAAGACTGCCTTCTGGACATCCTTCCCATAGAAGAAGCATCCATTGGCATTCCACCGAAAGATGGCATGGTGACTTCATCTAGACATTCATTAGTCATGGGTCCTCTGGAAAAGCTTACGAATGTGGGTTGGGATATATCATTGATGTTTCCATTCGACATCGACCGCTGCAATTGACGGTGACTTCGGTTCGTTGACAGATTCGATATTCCTCCAAACGATGGCATGGTCATGTCATCCAGACATTCATTGGTCATTTGACCGCGTCTCGAACTAGCGAAAATTGGGGCAGATATTTCGCTAATATTTCGCGTATTTCTGGATCTCTGCCTTTGACCGAGACTTCTGCTCCGGGAAACATTAGAAACAACACCTTCAAAGGCTGGCATTGAAATATCCTCCAGGCATTCATTGTTAGTCTGTTCCCTGGCTGTGGTGTTTCCAAACGATGGCGCCGTTACGTCCCAAAGGTTTTGAGAAGCCATCGATAGCTGATTCAATCTTCTGGGATGACTTTGTCTACGAGACCTACTCCTTTCGAAGGAGGGCTGGGTAACATCATCCAGGCACTCACTGGGCATTGTCAGCTGTCTTCGGGAAAGTCTAGAAAGATTGGCAAGCGATGGCATTGTTTCATTCTCTAAAAACGAACGATGTGACATATTCTGACTCCTTAAAGTTGGACCAAACGATGATTCAAACGCTGGCATTGTCTCATTCTCTAAATTGTCCTGGGAGGACATCACTTCCAAGCACTCATTTGGCATCGATGCATCGTGATATGAGGGCATTGACTCATCCATTAGCTGGCTCTCAAATCGACTTGGCAACGAAAAGTTAAGACGTCGTCCCGGCTCACCGCCCTCAATTGCCGGTGTGAAGTCCATAGAGGATGTATTCGAGACCGTTGTCTCATCTACATGACTGGTGATATTTCCACTTGGATCGCGATGTGTATATATCCTACGATGCGTAGTCTATAGGTTTTTATGCCATCATTAGTTATCCTCATCGGATACCACATCTTTACCTGTTGATAGCAGGGACTATCATTGGCCAACTCTTGCATTCCAACCGAGTCACCCGTTCGATGGAGTTGATTAGTTCGATTAATACGTTCTTTTATGCTCTTAAACCGATCCAGAATATCATCATATACATTATCCGCATGGCTAGTCCCACCATTATTCGAGACATCGTACATATTCGGAGCGGAAACATCGTCCAATAACTCTCCACGCATCTCGGACATCTGTGATGGCAGACTGAGATCAAAACCCGGCGCCGACATATCCGCCAAGTACTCCTCCGGTAAATTACTTAGATTAATGCCCATCTCATACGGTGGACGACGTGGCTGCGCCTGCCGGAACGTCTCCATGGCCGCAGCATCCGTTTCGTCTGGAAGTTTAGTTAGGGAAAAGTTAAAGAGACTTTCTAAGCTAATATTCTATCAACTATAAACTTCTAACTAAACTACATTTCTTTCCATTATTAACCTCCATTTACTTACATGTCATATCCCTAAACATCCTTGGATGCCGCCATTCCTCATTGCCAGTCAGCCCAAAGTCACTGGGATCGTAACGATGTGCCCGATGTCCACGAAATCCCGGACGTAGATGCTCCGGAGTGCTAACCAAATCGGTGCCATGAGATGGACAATTTCTTTGGCTTCTGGCATGGAATGGAAAGGAAAAGATATTAGTTAAATGTAAAATAACATCTATCCGAGATTCACTACCTATTGTTGCCATCTAAAGATCCATTCGGACCGACTTGCCCTCTGTCTCTACTATAAAATGGTTAAGCAGCAATTATCCTTCAATACCAAAAACCTAATCTCGTAATCCCAAAACTCACCTCATGATTGCCCCCGCCAGTTGTAGTAGTGAAGTGAAATTGGTTAAGGCATACAGCCTGGATGGGAATATCTGGTTCCGAATCAGAGAGGGAAAGTGTGTTCGAGATAGAAGAGGTGTCTCGTCTGCCTCAGGCTGTAGAAAACTGTAGGAAAATCAATAGGCCAGTAGGTCAGTGGCTGCTCCGATTCGTTAAGCTGGCATCTCGATGCCTACCCATTCCCATTCCCATTTCCACTTTCCCCATTTTCCCCATTTTCTACATTTTGCAGCTCAGACGAGACAGACTAGCGAAGTGTGTCAAGCATCCGTGACTCTATTTCTTATCCAATTAAACAATTATGGAGAGCTCATTAAGGCAGGTTGTTTGAGAAGCGCCAAGAGCCGCGGCTTCTTTTTTTTTTTTTTTTATTTTTGACTTGACAACCACTTCCGTTCGCTGTTTCCTCTTTTTCGTTTTTGAATAAGCCAAAGAGGAGCGAACACAGGCTAGGCGATAGCAAAGCAGATGCAATTAGCGAGGCGCATAGTTTTTTTCATTCGGTTTTCCTTCCGCTTCATTGGCTTTTGATTTGACGTAGGTAAGGTACGGGACAGGACAGAACAGGACAAGACGTGGCAGAACGAACGCACAGGCGAGGTGTTCGAGCCGGCTAAGCGGGCCAAGTCGTCACACGAAACCGCTTTCATTTCCGCCAAACACAATTGCATCATTAGCGATGCAATCTCCGTTACTTAACGTAACCGCAACATGCCGGAAATGAAATCCGAGGCAAGCTGCTGCTGCTGCTGCTGCTGCTCTGCCGCTCGCTAAACTTTTGCCACGGTGAACGACTCGACAAGTGTCGAGAGCTGGCCAGGGCTGGGGGAAAGTCGGGCAAGCACACAGCTAGGATATACATAGCTGGGGCCACCAAATCTGGGAGACTCCTCCATTCTGGGCAAAAAAAAAAAAAAAAATCAAAAAATCCTAGTAAGGGACGGTCGTCCGCCAAGCACAAGGAAATATGACGTCGCCATGTGGCATAGGAATAGTCAAAGAGGATTGGGATAAGGACCAAACCAAGCCAAGCCAAGGCACCAAGGACTATGGCAACCGGAAAGCGAATGAACGGAATGATGATGCTGCTGCGCAGAAATAATCGAATGAAGCCGGGTCGTCATGCGGTAACAAAACTCGGGTCTGAGTCCTGTGGCCAGCGTGCGTCGAGGAGCGATTACGCCGAGCCGCTTCATTTAGCTGGTGGGGGTCTGGAATGGAATGGAGTGGCGTGGAGTGGAGTGGAGTGGAGCGGATAGAAGGGTATGACTTGTCATGGGTATGGGTATAAAACCGAAGCTAAAAAGATGGAGCAGGTCCTACGCGGGCGTCAGCCACCTGCAAATATTTGACTTAAGCTTGGCAAAACCTACTACATACATGCGACGAGGGCTCTTTAAGGAGTATTACAACGTGAGTGGAAAATATTACCAAAAAGGTTAATTTGAAACCATAAAAACTGGCAGAGAATTTGTTAAAGATTTGTTAAATCAACTTTAGAGTCACCCCTCGCTTCTCGAATGGAATTTGTGAGGGTGCAGTGCATGCGGTGCAGCAAGCAATCAACTGCCGCTCCAGCAGCCGCGTATTTGCATATGATCCTCCCCCTTCCCTGTTTCCCTGCAATCCCATCTACATACAATCCTGGCTGCCTGCCTGCCTGCCTGACTTCCTGCCTTCCTGCCTTTCCTGCCACATGTCCATCCGCCCACTCACCTGACAAAACGCTGGGACGAAGCTACCGGGTTGTCACTTTTCGCACCGCTTTGTGCCGCATTAATGCGCATATTAAAATGGACGCAGACGAAGCGGCAGCAAAGGCAACGGCGAAGGCATACACAAAACTAAAGCCAGTCGTTGGCTTGGCCATAAGCCGCCCAGCCGACTTGCTATTCATACGAGCCACAAATGCACTTGTAAAAATATTGATTTAACTTGAATTTAAGGCAGATTAGGAAATATTATTTAATATTTCTTAGTCACTTCTTATAAGTCACTTAAATAAACTCCTCCTAGTAAACTTAGCTTACCATTGCTAGTTAACAAATTTTCTTCTTTGTAAAATCAAAAAAAAAACTCCTTTTAGCCATAATCTTTTCTCTGTGCCAAGCAGTTCTGGTAAAAAGTAGCAGGACCTGCTGCACCACACAAAAGGTTTGCTGGCGACTGCCCCCAAGGCTACAGACGACTTTTCCTACCCCCCCAAAAGTTCGGCGAACGTTTAGCTAAACGTTGCTTACTTTTCAATTTGTTGGCCAAAAAGAAGAAGAAGGTTGCTTCTGTTAGCATTTCGGGGTTCTGCTGCTTAACGGGTTTTATTTAGGGTGGGAGAGAGGAGAGAGGAGGAGAGTTGGTCTTCATTCACAATCATAATGCATTGGGTATGGGCATGGGCATGGGCATGGGCATGGGCACAAAGGACTTTCGTCTTACGGCTTAGGCAAACATAAGGCCACACACGCGGTCACATGGGGAGCGATTAGCGTGAGTTTATCAAGGGTTCCATTCGCTATTCGCCATTCTCCATTCTCTGCGTTCTGGCCCATTGAAACCACAAAGCCACAACCACCGCAGCTTCATCAAAGATACATTATGTTTGCATATATGTATATGCTGCATTCTATATACATATACACATATATATATCAATCACAAAACAGCGGGCAATGGCTATTTAGCCATTATCAAAGCAAAAGGTCTGCTTGGTATGCTTGTTGGCAACTAAACAACAACTCAATAACTTGGCCAACTTTGAATCGAGTGAGCAGGCAGCTGGTAGTTTCTAGTTTTAGTGGCTTCAAGAAAAAGTGGTATTTTTTTTTTAAAGGGAAATATGGGAAATTTCCCATTACATTAGGAAAATGGGAAAAGTAGAAAAATCCCCTTAAGAAAAAAACATTGAATTCGATTAAGATTTTTCCCTATATTACCCACTTGGGACAAGTGGCGCCACATAGCGGTAGGTAGTGGAAGAAAGCTCTCTCTTTTTCGAACTTCAAAAAACTCAACTTAAACTTTGACAAAAAATGTGCTTAACAGTGTGATTTTTAACAGTTAATAATAGTTAATATTAACAACAGTTTTACAAAATATTTTAACATTTTAAAAATAGTAACTAAGATGCTTCTTGAACTACATATTTTTAAAGCTAAAAAACCTTTAAACTGATCCTTAATATTAACTATTAATAACCATAATATATATCATAATTCGTATTTGAAATCAATGCCTTTTAGTACTTAAAACTATTACTTATAAACTAAACTTAACTTGTTAATCTTAAACATTCAAAGTTACCTTTGCCAAAGGTAGACTTTTCTCAGAATTTTCCCACCCAATATACTTCCATCAAAAATGAATCATGCGTGTTTTTCTGGTTCTGGGAAATTTCCTGAATAACCACCAACGCCCTGGCCCTGGATATAAATGAACTAGAAATCAAGTTAGATGGACAAACTCGTTGGTGGTGGACAAAGCCATCCATCCCTCGTCGGATCGGTTGTCTAGGCAACTTTCCTTCGAATACGGGCCAAAACATTGAACTTCCTGCCGTTGCCCGTGACTACAACCTGTCGCAGTCAGCTGTCTGCCGGATGGCAGGTAAATAAACAAGCATTTCTCTCTCTCTAACGAATCGAAAAGGAGTTTTCCACCAGCCTATTTGTGAAAGTGAAAATTGGAAACTTGTGAAAAATTGTGAAAAATATACCCCCTAAAATAAGCAAAACAAAAACAGATATGGCCCTTTACTAAATGGGTTTACTGTGCGCCAAGCTGCGCGACTCCTGCTGCTGCTGTTGTTGTTGTTGTTATTCCCAAAGCCTCAGCAACTGTTGTCGGATTTCCTCGCCACCGTTGGAGGAATTTCAGGTGTTGATACTTGGCCCATTGGCCAGTGGAAAAACCGAGTTGGGCCATCGATTAAGCAGAGTTCCCAGACCAATCGATGACCAGGAGGCCACAAATGGTGTACGTTGCTATCACGTTACCTCAGTGGATCCGCCAGCCCATCATCTCCAACTAACCGAAGTCGGTGGCAATCCGGAGATGCAACGCTTGTGGAAACACTATTATGCCTCCTCACATGCCCTGATATATTGCTTCGATCTCAGTTCAGATCCGGTTGAACTACAGACCACATTCGACCTACTCTTCGATTGCCTTCAGGGCACTCCTCAACTGGCTGGTAAACCAGTGCTACTCGTGGCATCTCGTCATCGTGATGGCGTACAGCTGTACGACGTGGAATATGCCTTTGGCTTGGAGGAACTGGCCAAATCCTGCGGCTGCCCCCTGCTCATCTGTCACATGGACGAACCTGATGACCTGCAGCGTGGCATACGTTGGCTATGCCATCAGTTGATGGCAAGGAAAACGCAATTGGATCAGCGTATTCGATACGATGTTAACATGCAGGTGAGGAAAAGCCTCAGGCCTTGATACTTCTTCTTAGGCCTTTTATGATTAACTAATTTTATTACTTTTTTACCAGGTTTGGCAGCGTCGAAAGCGCTTGCATTTAACCAGCGGAAAGTTAGCCCAAGTTCATCGACATCGTTTTCGTCGACATACACGAAAGGTTTATTAACTAACTTAACTTAACTTATGAAAAATCAAAATACTAACTATTTTTACTATAAAAATTCCCTTAGATATTGCCTGCCATCCAAGGTTTTGGAGGCCTAACCATGATGCGTCCCAGTACAGCACCTCCAAAGATTTTCTTTGTGAACTCAAAAGATGAGAATGATACCAAAATGTAAGGAAAAGCCGTGATCGAGTGCGCATTTAAAGTGCCAAAATAGAAAACCATTCAAGTGTTTACACCAGAGGCTACTTTTTGCCATTCCTTTTTTTTTTTTGGCTAGCCTTTAAGTCAAGTTATCAAGAAATCAAGCTTAAATACTGTGAGAAAGTTCTTATTTTTTGTTTAATTTTCAAATAAAATCCAATGTAATTGTCAAAAAATTTGCTGTCATTATTGGTTGGCAAAGTGTAGCTACTAATTTGACTGGTTAGTCGAAATTCGAAACCCTCAATTTTCATGACAGAATTGGAGAAAATTTGAAAATTTCATGGTAAACAGGGCAGAGCAAGGCAGGGCAGGGCAAGGCAGGGCTGGCCAGGGCAGGGCAAGTGCAACAGCAACATAAATTTTAAGGGGCATGGAAAGGAATGATGATGAAATGTTTGAAATATGTTTGTTTTGCCATTTGCACTGTCAATTCGTATTGAACAAAAGTTAATCAATTGTCCTGGTAAGCGGAGAATTATGCATTTCGCACAATTTATGACGAGCCCTCTGGTCGGCTCATTCGACGGCAACTGCCACAGCAACTGCAACTGCAACTGCAACTGCAACAGCGACTGCTAGTTGTCAGCTCTAATTAACAATTACAAGTTGGCCCAAGTGGACAGTGGCTTTTGAGATTGGCATTGTATGAGTGTGTGTGTTAGTGTGTGTGGCATGTGGCATGGCACGGCCTGGCCTGGCGTTTTAAATAACAATTCTTAAAGCTCCACACAACAGCAGGGAAACAAATGTGGTCAAAATACTAGTAGTAAAGGTCTTAGAAAAGACATTAAGAGAGACGAATCTCTACAGAGTTCAAGTCTCAAAGGCTAATACTTTCTCCCAAGATTATTTCACTCTTAAAAAATATAAACTTTCAGTTATTTCTTAGTAAAAAACATAAACAGTCTGTTATAGGAATTATAAGTCATTAAGAAACCCATCAAATTTCTCATTTTACAATCTTAGATTATCCATAATCCATAATATATCTAGCAATCTAATTCCCAGAGTTACTAAACCCTTTAATAGTAGTCTAAAAAAAAAGGACATAAATCTTGTAAATTACTTGCGCTATTATTTAGACCGCAGCTGTAGTATGAAAGTAAGTATGCAAAAAGGCATCGTGTTTTCCACCAGATTCTGGCCAGACATCCTGATGGGCTATGGACGTGGGTGCCTTCTGGGTGGGTGTAGACTGGCTGCTGGGTTGAATGTCAGCCAGTCGATGATGTATTGCCGAACACCAATAAGCAAACCACAAGAAGGAGTATCACACACACACACACACACACACATCCAAGAAGGCGGTTGAAATCAAACAATTACTAATACACTGACATCGATTCCCACCCGCCAGAATAAGGGGGATGGATGATGAGGATGCAGGATGCAGGATGCAGGATTCTGGATTCAGGACTACGGATTCGGGTTTGTGGGATGGAGAGATGGTGACATTGATGATTGCGGCTCGTCGACGTCTGGAAACGCCGGAACGTGTGCTCGTAATAATCCCCCGGCGCACAGCCATGGTCGCAATGATATAGCACATTTTAATATTTTCTATATAATTCTTTGAAGTTTTAAAAAAGTTTTTATGAAAAATCCTTAAAAATGTATTCATTTTTCATATTTAAAAATGAATATTTCTAAAATACTTCATGCCAATGCGACCTCTGCTGTAAAGTCAACCACCGCTGCAGTTAGCCCAAACTCCCAGGATCACACTCACATGGACAAGGACATCCATACACATCCATACACACACACACACATCCACATCCACATATCGTCACCAATACCACCTTGCCTTGCCGCACCCAAAACACCCAAACAAACATGTGTCGCCGTGTGTTGTAGCGAAAAGTGTAAAATAAGCATCAATCATCGCTTATTCGAGTTGTCATCAATCACACACACGCTGCACACACACACACACACACACACACAAGAAGGATATGCTGCGGTGACACCAACAACAACAACAGCAACAACAACAACAACAGCACCAAAAACAAGAACAACTGAAAGTGGAGAGCCCACCGATGTCTCACCGTTATCATAGGTGGTTAGTTTTTGAGGCAGAGTCAGAGAGGCATCTGAAAATTTGCAACCCCCAGTGATGCTGTTATCCCATCCCATGGCTAGATAACTATTTCAAGAACTATTTTTCAGGATATATATATAATATATCATAGGATATATCAGAGAGCTATGATTGAGCTTTTTGTTCTGATGGATCCGAGAATTAGCTATAGATTTTCCTTGTTTTCCAGAGTTTTAAGATCAGAGATCCTTCTTTACTAGCTGTTGTATAGCAGATAGCTTTTTGTTTGGCTAGTGGCCTTTCAGTCTTAGTTAAGTGTTTTATATCATAGAGCTTCATGTCTTATCTTTGGGTTTGTCAGCGTTATATACAATCCAGTATATTTCTGGCTTCATAGCTTGATTTTGGATCTCTGTAATTCTGGACCAATATCAGGCAGTTTAATGACTCCATTTATTAGCAAGTCTCAATAATGGCATTCAAAATTCTCTCCAAAGATTTTCTCCATAAAATGATAAAATGAAAATAATAATAACTTATCTTTGCCATTACAACAAATTCATAATCAAAATGATCTTAAGAAAAGATCATCTAAAAACCTACCCAAAAATCTCGAAATTTCGCAATACAAAACTAAAGAACTTTTTCAAAAATAATTTCCTCCTTGCTCTACCCTCAAAAATAAAACCTATCGCCACATCACTGTTCACCACCAACAGGCATTCGCGTTATCCTTCCTTCCGGTCATTGTCCTCCGAAGGGGCAGGCAGCATTCCTAATCCATTTTGCCGGGGGCGAGTTATTAAATCATTCATCAGGTTGCACCACGATCGCGCCTGTCACATGTCTGTCAACAGTCAACGCGGCGGCTTGAAAATGCGTAACCAAATATCAAAAAATATCCAAAGGGGTACCAACACCAACGAGAGAACCATAGAACCAAAGAACCGAATAACCAAAATAACCAAATATATATCCAAGGACAACCCTCATCATCTCATCAAGGGTTATATTCCGGGTGAGTGCTGCGTGCGCCAAGGCGGAAAATAAAGATTTAATCGGCATTTATGGACATTTTGCAGACTTTTTACGATTATGCCCGCCTCGTATGACGGCGGCAAGCCAACGAGTTGTCAAACAACACAACACGGAAGTTACCCCTTAGGGGAGTGAAGGGCGATAAGCGCCGAGTGGTTTGCCATTTCCCCCTCCTCTAAAGGGCAAATTAATCTCCAGGACTTGTCCCAAACTTGTTCATCAACTCGATATCTGTCAGCACTCAACGAATGCTAACCGATTGCCGTTTGATTGGGCCAACAACACGGCACTGAGCACTGAGAACTAAATCGTTTTAAAATTAAACCGACATTTTAATCGATCAATTTATTGAGGAATTTATAAACTTAACAAGAAGATAGATTGCATTTCAAGTGAGTTCTCCTCTATGTCTTTCTATCTAAAATGAGTCAGTCAAAAGTTTTGCTTTTCTCAACCAAAACTGCATGGCCTATGTGATCTGATTGAGAATTCCAAATCACATCACCCTCGGATCTAGTGTCATCGAGCAAATGCTAATGTCAAAGACATATAGCCTAGACCCAGCCGGAAAACATTCAGTCTGGTAAAACAGCTTGACTGCAGCAGAACACCCTTTCGGAATTCAAATTAAATAAAGTTATAAATTCAAAATTTAAAGTGAAACAACAGAGGTAACCTTTGTAGGTAAAGTCAAGTGAAGAATATGTGAAAATTTCGTTTGCTTTTTAGACTCTTCAACATGTGGTTTCGTTCGGGAACACAACAGAACCTCGTACCTCGAGAGTCTTAGATGGGATGTAATGTAAGCCGAGAGGTTTGAAAGTGAAAGTGATCGGAAAGTAATTTAGTTCTTCCTTCTAGACATCATCCACTAATACACTCTTGCCATTGCCAGTCGATGGCTGATGGCAATGGCAATCGAAGTGTGGCTCTTCGTAAGTAGGTTTTCCCCATTCCCCATTCTCACCATTACCATGAACTCACTCGAAGTCTGAATCTCGCAGCAAAGGAACAAGACTCGACCCGGGAGACGAGTCTATGCACTGATGGTACCCGTCCCGCCGGACGCGCAGTTTGCATCGGTCGCTGTTCCTTCCACACACACCTTTACAAAAAACTGATAAACGTCTGACTACTTGCTAAAAAAAAAAAATACAAAACAGATAATAAAATAATGTTTTTTTTTCGTTAGATAAATTCCAAGATCTATTTTTCCAAGTGCATGGGCGACTACGGGTTAGCGGAAAACAATTGGCCCGGTCAATGAGAGCAGCGCAGGTTTCAATTTCATTTTCGTTTTCGGGGGCAAACACAATGGTGTTATGCTAAAGCGGATACGGGTCTAATGTTTTTACGTAAACCACCCAGCCGGAGGCCGGCACACACCCCCCCGCCCATGCCCATGCCTCATATATAATCGAATGAAGTCACGCCGCTTTAACATTTGCGGTCAACACGTGAGGCTGTGGACATTTGGTTCCCGTTTTGTGTTCTTTTTTTTTTTTTTGGTTTTGTTTTGTTTTGTGAGGGGGGGGAAAGGATAAGGAGGAAGATGGACAGGTAAACCGGGTGAACCGATATACGATACGGTCATTGTGTGTCCGAGTGTGTGTGTGTGGATGTGTTGGTGTGCGCCAAACAAAGTTGCGGCAGAAAAGGCTGCAGGACATGTGCACGAAATTAATTTCCAGGGCAGCCGGATGAAGGACGTGAAGGATAGAGGAGCGAGCGAGCGAGCAGAAGCGCTCTTTTTAATCCAACATGATATCGCCCACAAAATGCAAAGCGGCCGAGGTCGCTCCACTGTACAGTTGGACCTTAATAAGAAGGCTAAGCTTGGCGTTTGAACATACTTCATAAGTTAAGGCTTAAAAAACAGCAACATTTTGATTTTTTATCGATTAATGTGACTTTTTTGAAGAATTATTTTGTTATAAAATAGAAATATAATTTAATAAAAGGCAACTTGTCAAAGTTTCACTGTACTTTTCAAGCAGATCCTTGGCACGGAGTTACGTACGTATCTGTCCACCAGTAGCTGGCCAACTGCAAAAATCCGAAAGCGGATTAAACGTATTCGTGAGAATTCGTCAACGATTTCACACCTGTTCCACCATACACGGCCAGCGAGAAACTGGCCACGAAACAGGAGGAGGAGGTGGAGGAGGGGGAGGACGGAAGGACCTCAATCACAGTCCGTTGTCCGGGGGGCCCCTTTCTCGCCGGGAATGGCATAAAATGCCAATTAGAATTTCAAGTTCGCAGTCCGTTGGTCCGCCGCCTTAAGCGCTCAATGTTTGGCTGTATTTTTCCACCCAAAAACCCAAAACCCATCCACCCATCCATCCATCTCTCTCAATACATACTATATATATATATGTACATATACTATATCTCGACTTTTCGCAACGCAAATTGTTTATTGCCCCCAGGGCTCTTTATTAACTTTACGGCGAGAGTTCGGACCGGCTCAGTGAGAAAACTGACCTCTCTCTTTTGCCGGCGGCTCAATCTCCTGCCCTCGACTTTCGATTTCCATCCGCTTTGGATTCGATTCGATTGGATTGGATTGGATTCCATTCGATTCGGTTTTCGGTATGGAAGTGGAAAGTCTCTCCCCCCCCCACTTCTCCCCAGTTCCAGATCCTTTGAATCAGCTTATGCTCCTCCTCCTCCTCCTCTCCTCTCCTGTGTTTTATTATTTTCTTTTTGGATTTTTGTTGGTCAACGCGCGTAACGCGGAAATGCACTCAAAATATTAAATGCTTCAGCAGTTTGCAATTATTGCGGGGGAGGCGCGGCAGTGCCTCCTTGGCCTCGCTTAATTCATAATGCGCATCGAACGCAGGCTGGGAAATGGAAAAAGGGAAATGGGAAATGTGGTATTTGGAGTTTGGAGTACGAAGCCAGGAGGAGGTTGGTTGGTTGGTCAGAAGCTTATTGGCCAGGCTTCTTAGTTCTCAGGCAGTGTGGGGTCAAGTGTGGGTGGGGAAGGAAAGTTCTCCGGGGTCTTTGAAAACCATAAAAAATTAAAAGACCAACTAACTTTTGGGTGGGCCGAAAAAGGATAAAATTAAGGGAAAATTACATACTTAATTAGAGGGAAATCTATCTATTAATGGAAGGTTAAGAATAGCAACATCATAGACACCTTCTCTTTTTTATAAACAAAAATGAAATCATCCCAGAAATCGCAGAAAACCAATCGAAAGACCTATAATTCCCCCCCATGTTTCATATGTCAAAAATGAATCTCTACACGAAATTAGCGCATTAAATTGGCCAAAATGGAAGGGGGGGCCAGGCAGGCGGCAGGCATATTTCCAAAAGTGTGTGTATAAACATGGCAGCAAACCATAAATATAAATTCCCAGGCGCTTTACGAGCCGGCAGCAAAAGAAGAAGTAAAAAGGATTACATGGCATAAGAAGAGAAGGAGCAGGAGCAGAAGCAGAAGAGGCCAAGGCAGTAGCAGGAGCAGGAAAGCTAAAGCTCAAGCTGAAGCTGTAGCTTCGATAAAGCAAAGTCTATGAGATTTACGAGCAGATTTCAAGAGTTACAAATACATACATGAGGAGCCAGCTTGGCCTAGGATGGCGGCCACAGGCATGGAAAGCCGATACAAGGATACGCACAGCCGCAGGACACGGATTTTATGTTCTTGGACGACGCGGCGTCAAGTTGCCAAGAGCAAAACTTTCAATTGCATTTTGGGCCAAGTTTCGTTCGGCTTATCTTTATTATCGCCGCTGTTATTATCCATCCTGGCTGCCTCCCCGGAAAAGTCGAGGTCCTTTATACCTCGTGTCCTCGAGTCCCTGGGATATATTTACGCTACTGGCTGCTGCTGTTTTGGGGTGGAGGGGGGGTCCACATAAAGTATGTCATGTGTCATAAATGACAGATTCTTAGGCATACTTCATTGATCCCTTTTTGGCCGTCTCGTTTTTACGACGACGCTGCTCTCTCCTTGCTAAATTGTTGCAGTATCTGTTGCCAACAGACACACATACACGCACACCCTGCCAGACAGACAGACAGGCAGGATACTACAACACACACACACACAGCACACTTACACATTCTCACGCGAATCGTGCGTGTTTGAAGTTTGCTTTTGATAAATGAATGGATTTTCAAAGGCGACGTTAATGAAATACGCACACACACAGGCACAATCACGAGCAAGAAGGATGCCAGACGCCCAAGGATTCTATAGCTTCAGGAAGTATACCTATGTGTGTGTGTGTGTGTGTATGTATGCCCCCCCTTGTACATCCTTCAATCTATCAAACTCACGTGTCCGTCGTGTCTCAATTTACTTGCTTAGTTGCTGCTCAACTTGCGGCGCTTTTGCTTGCTCCTTTTATGGACACAGTGAAACCGAAAACCGAAGACCAAGCGGTTGCCCGGCATTTTGATAGAGTCCGCTTTTGGCATATTTATGAAGTCCTGGCTGTTGAAAGGACCCTGCCCACCCTGCCTTGCGAAAAGTGGCTAGCGGCTATCTAATGGTGAAGCCTCGAAAAAGGAAGTATCAGCTGGCAAAAGTTGATCATGGAATACCACCCTTCTTCATATTCACATTCACAGAAGCTTGAAAAAGAAAAACTAAAAGAAAATTTTTACCTACTTTCTTTCCTTTAATTAACTTTTGACTTTTAAAAATCCCCAACAAATATACTCATTAGCATGCCACGTAAACCATATCTGCAGTAGTGCAGGTGGTAAACAAGTTCGAATGCCTCGACAATGGCCTAATGATCACCTCCCTTCCCCTTCACTAACTTGGCTTAAAAGTGTGCCAAAGAAATGCTGAGCATAAGAAGAAGATAGATTGCATTTCAAGTGAGTTCCTCTGTTTTTCTATCTAAAATGGATCAGTCAAAAGTTTTGCTTTTCTCAACCAAAACTGCATGGCCTAAGTGATCGGATTGAGAATTCCAAATCACATCACCCTCGGATCTAGTGTCATCGAGCAAATGCTAATGTCAAAAGCATATAGCCTAGACCCAGCCGGAAAACATTCAGTCTGGTAAAACAGCTGGACTGGAGCAGAACACCCTTTCGGAATTCAAATTAAATAAAGTTATAAATTCAAAATTTAAAGTGAAACAACAGAGGTAACCTTTGTAGGTAAAGTCAAGTGAAGAATTTGTGAAAATTTCATTTGCTTTTTAGACTTCAACATGCGGTTTCGTTCGGGAACACAACAGAACCTCGTACCTCGAGAGTCTTAGATGGAATGTAATGTAAGCCGGGAGGGGTTGAAAGTGAAAGTGATCGGAAAGTAATTTAGTTCTTCCTTCTAGACATCATCCACTAATACACTCTTGCCATTGCCAGTCGATGGCTGATGGCAATGGCAATCGAAGTGTGGCTCTTCGTAAGTAGGTTTTCCCCATTTTCTCATCATTTCCATGAACTCACTCCAAGTCTGAATCTCGCAGCAAAGGAACAAGACTCGACCCGGGAGACGAGTCTATGCACTGATGGTACCCGTCCCGCCGGACGCGCAGTTTGCATCGGTCGCGGTTCCTTCCACACGCACCTTTACAAAAAACTGATAAACGTCTGACTACTTGCTAAAAAAAAAATACCAAACAGATAATAAAATAATGTTTTTTTTTCGTTAGATAAATTCCAAGATCTATTTTTCCAAGTGCATGGGCGACTACGGGTTGGCCCGGTCAATGAGAGCAGCGCGGGTTTCAATTTCATTTTCGTTTTCGGGGGGCTAGCGTTTGCGAAAAGTGGCTAGCGGCTATCTAATGGTAAAGCCTCGAAAAAGGAAGTATCAGCTGGCAAAAGTGGATCATGGAATACCATCTTCTTCATATTCACATTCACAGAAGCTTGAAAAAGAAAAACTAAAAGAAAATTTTTACCTTTCTTTCCTTTAATTAACTTTTGACTTAAAAATCCCCAACAAATATACTCATTAGCATTCCAAGTAAACCATATCTGCAGTAGTGCAGGTGGTAAACAAGTTCAAATGCCTCGACAATGGCCTAATGATCACCTCCCCTCTCTCCACTAACTTGGCTTAAAAGTGTGCCAAAGAAATGCTGAGCATTAGAAGACACGTTGCCAAGGCAAAGGAGCCAACGAAAAGCAAAAGCAAACGCATTAAAAGCAACTTAATAATTCAGATCAAAATCACCAATCAGCGCGCTGCCGACATATTGACAAACGACGACGACGACGACGACGCCGCCGACACCACCATCTTTACCCATCTTTCTAAGAAAGCCTGCTTGGAAAACCAGGCAAGCCAGGCGCAGAGGCAAAAGCTTGAGGAGGCAGGCGGCAGAAGCCAAGCCAGCCATCGACAGCGACAGCGACAGCAACGACGACGACAAGAGATTTACATTTTCAAAATCGAATGGCGGCATAAGCCACCGCAAAGCAAAAGACACGCAACCACAGCCATAATGAAATCCACGATAAACAAGATAAACGAACACAAAAAGAAGAGTCACAGACAAACAATGCCATACGTGCTAGGATATATGTATATATCGAATCGGAAGAGACTCTGTTTCTTTTCTTAGAAAATATCCATGAAAAAAGCCCTGAAAATATCTCTGAAAATATCCCTGAAAATATCTCTGAAAATATTTCTGAAAATATTTCTGAAAATATCCCTGAAAATATCTCTGAAAATATTTCTGAAAATATTTCTGAAAATATTTCTGAAAATATCCCTGAAAATATCTCTGAAAATACCCCTGAAAATTCTTCAACAAATCGGAAAAACCCACAAAAAAATATCACAAAATAAAATTTCTTTAAAAAATCCAGCTAATAGGGTCAACACCTTTGACCCATAAAACCTTTCCCATTCTCAATCAATACTCAATATACCTTTTGGTAAGGGTATTTAAGGACTAAAATGGAACCAACCAGCGAGCAACAGCCAGCTGCCTTGGCGACGATGGCTAAAATATTTATATCTATTTCAGCTTGGCCGCTTTATACAATTTCTATTTTGCCACACGACACGGATCCCCCACCATCCCCCTTCCCACCCAACCACTCTGAGCACGCCAAACACCGAACACGCCGCCAGACACCCCACCAATACCTCGAAACACCCACTCTGTACTTCCACGATGTCTTCGTTTGCAATCAATGAAAGATTTATGACAATACATCGATGGTAGTGGATGAAGAGGTGGTGGTGGAGGAGGAGGAGGAGGAGAAGGAGGAGGAGGAGTAGGAGTAGAAGATCCTGGAAGTGGTTCTTGAACCAAAGAAATAAAGGCATTGCCCACACACGGAGGAATTTGTTTTTATGTCACATCATTATTTTTATTATGGCGCTGCCAATGGCCTGTTATTCGAGAGTGATTAGTGGCTAAAAATGACTACGATAACATCGAATGTGCTGCCGGTTGCAGGGTGGACCATGTTATTTTTCAACTAATCTCGTCTCGTCATTTTTTTTATAAAAAGACTTTTCAAGCTAAAAAACTAATTTAATATTTGCCCAGAAGAAAACCTTATTAATAAAAAATACCATCATATATAAGACAAGGTCCACCCTAGCAGAACAATATACAAATATATATGCCCATAATGAGCGATGGCTGGCGATAAGGAAATGCCTGAAATATTGGGTTACCTTGCCGCCTTCTGCTGGTTGTCTGCCCGTAACTGAAATGGATTGCAAGTCAAAGGCAGAGTCGTGCTCTGTGTCTCGGCTCTTTTCTAGTGGATCGGCTCAATCGATCGATCAATTCAATTAGCAATCGGAGTCATGATGTCACCAGAATGTTCTGGATGATATATATATAGTTATATACACATACACCCACAATCGGCGATAACTCTATTTAGGGCCAGGGCTTTTGGCCTTTTGTATGCGAGATGATGAAGAGGCTGCAGAGGCAGGCAGGCAGTAGTCGTTGTAAGTGGAAACTCTCAGTGCGTGTAAAATGCCTTTTCAGTATGTGTGGGTGCTTTTGGGGTATGTTGTTGGGTGTGTTACAGCAACAACAAAACAAAAAAACAATAACAAAAACAACAGCTAGAGAGAAAAGAGTTGGACAACAATGAAATGCTTTTAGCCTTCGAAACTGCCAACTGAACAGCGCCAAACGAAATTAAGTTAACAACAAAGTGAGGCAAAGCAGGCAGGCAGGCAGGCAGCAGCAGCAGCAGCAGCGAGGAAAAGTTTCCTCTGCACTGTTTTTATTGAAAATTGAGTTAAAAAACTGAAAGTGTTGACGACGTCGACGACAACAACAACGTATCGCATCGTATGTGTGTATTTATCTCGCATGTTTGTCGCATGTTGTCCTGAATTCCATCCAACTCATTCGTTCCCGCAAAAGTAGGCAACACTATTAGCCAAAACTCATAGCCAAAGTCAATGGAGACGACGACGACGCCTGGCCTTTTAAGGATCTGCAACACACAACTTGCGTCCAGTTATGTTTTACAATCCAGTTACAACGTACTCTCTTAGTTGGAAAATACTAACTTTGATGATATCTCGATAATGGGGTATCAACTATTTTCCAGGCATTTTCAACATAATTTCACATCTTTTTATTTTTAATCTTCTTTGGTTTCATCACAAAAACAAAAATATCAATAAGAAGAAACTTAATTTGTAATAATCTGACCTTCCTGACCAGATCCTTCCCCTCCCTTTCGCCCATAAACTTTCCAGACAGTGGAATGCCAATAAAGACGGAATCGGAAGACAACACACGGCTCAGAGCCGGAATGGACATTCCGAAATGCTGATGCTGAAATCAGCGCAGATCAATGTATGCGTGTGCGCATCAAATTTATGAATTATTGAATCTATGAAAATATGAACATCACGTACGCCCCCTCACTACCACCTCCCTCCCCTCCCTCCCCCACCCTCCCCACCCTCCCTCTCTTCATCAAACTATCTCAGACAGACGGAGATGCAAGACAATCGCACGCAGGACGAACTTACAGTTATGCAGAACAAAAAAAACAACAAAAAAAAGAAAGGAGGATGAAAAAAAAAATATAAAGAAATCGACGTGGGGGCGGCTAGGCGTGGTCATGAATGTTTGTGTGCGTGAGGAGCTGGAATATGCACAGAATTTCATTAAGACGACGCCTCCTCCTCTGCCTTTCGACGTTTTCATACACTGCCAAAGAGGAGAAGTACCATGACTATTCTGTTAGCCTATGGAATAAGACTTAGCCCGTTTTAAGGACCCTCCGAATGCCACGGCAAGTCTTAAAGAATATTAGGTATAAGCCATAACCCCTTAATAAGTAACTAAAAATATATTTAAATTTTCCAAAGAAAAGTAAATTTAAAAAAAAAGGGAAAAAAAATCTTTGAAAATATCTCCCAAAATTCTCCACGCCTCCTCCTTAGAGCATTACAAACTTCGGTTTTTGGAACTCCCCCCTTCGTTCGTTTATAAATAAGTTTACGCATTGGTCTGCGCGTTTGTTGTTTGCCAAAGTTTGTTCATCTGGTTCGACGTGTTTGTCGATGGCTTATAGACCCCCCCTTAGAGAGCTGCTGAAGTGCGGGATTAACACTACCTACCTCTCTCTCTCTCTCTCTCAGATCAAGAAAACTTTTCTAATAATTTCTTTCCGATGAATTCCATTTATAATATTTAATGTGATGTTGTTGATTTTTTTTTGTTGGTTTTTTATTTTTGCATCTCAACAATTATACAGTGAAATGCTGTGTGTGTGTCTGTGTGTTGTTATTAGACATGCGATGCAATCCTCAAGTCCCACGGAAATGGTACCATCAGCATATCCATAGCCAAAGCTCAATCTGACCCAAAATGGAGGATGGATCAGAGAGCTCTGACTCCTCCTATTAACTCTATTTAAGGCAGCTCCAGTGTTGGCATTTTAAGAACGATCTTCATTACATTTTCATTTCAACAAGTGTAGGGTTTGATTTGTACGATATCCAGGGGGGGGTGGTACTTGCAACCTAATCTCTTCTTCTGCATTAGGCCTAAGAAGTTCCATCTTTTCCAGTGTGTGTTTGTGTGTGTGCGTGTGTACAGTACAGAAAATATTCACAACATTCAAACATGTGTGTAGAGGGATATGATAGAGGGCTTTTTCCAGGTGATATTTGAAACTCTTCTTTAGGTATTAGGCCAAAGTTCCATATATTCCTGACTTGCACTCCTGATCGTCTGATCATTTGATCTTCTCATCATTACGGGGTTTAGATCTACCCCGTGTAGATGATGATGATGTGGTGGTGGTGGTGTACCTTTTCCAGCGCGTATACCTTTCTTGGGGTATTTTAGACCAAAGTTCCCATCATTTCCTTTGTATAAATCATCAGCCTAAGTCATTTTACTTCTGAGGGGGCCATCATGACGACTTTAATTAATAAAAAATATTTCGAAAATCAAACAGATTTATTACTTACTACTACAATACCATCTGAACATAAAATTGGTATTCCATTGCTTCCATTCATTTCATTTCCAAAGATCACTGACCACATATGGGTCTGTGGCTATGCTTGTGGGTGCATCGTTGGGTGGGTGGTTGTTTATATGTATGGCTGGTTCATTGGTTATATAATGTGTGCATGTGTGTGTGTGGGAATGTGACTGAATGTTTGTGCGTGTGTGTGTGTGCGTGTGGCTTAGCTTGGTGGGTTGGCTGAGTATATAACATTTTGTGTGCATTCCTAGTTCATTACCACATATAGTTATACCAATTAAATTCTAAAACGAAAAATTTTTTTGTAAAACTCGACTCGTTGTTTTCCGCGTTACTCTTTGCACTTTACCTGTCGCATCACTTAAAATTTTGTTTTTTTCTTTTTTTTTTACACATTTTATTTCCGAATAAGTAGCTCTGCTCCAGACGAGCTCTGGCAGCAGACTGAATCTTTTCAGGCTGGGGCTAGGCTATATGCCTTTGACAGTTTCGTTTGTTCGATGACATTAGATCCGAAGGTAATTGTGATTTCAAATTCTTCATCACATTTTTGATCACATTGGCCATGCCTCTATCTCTCTCAACCAGTTTATGGATCTGCTGCTTATTCCCCGATTGTAGGTTGCTACTATTTGGGGCATCCTCCTTAAATGGCGAAATGTTTGCCAACACACGTGGCAGGCGTGCCGTGTCCTTCACCCGATTGTCCTTCTAACTGCCAACTGATGCAAACGGATAACTACGACTATGAATTATGCACATTTACTTGCTTGTATGTGTTTCGTATTCCACTTTGAGATGCACAAGCCCTGCGCTAGCCTTTGAACTCATAGCCCCCCTCCCTCCTTTCCATCGATATCCTATATCCTATATCCTATATCCTATTGCCATCTCTTTCATCCGCTGTCGCCTCATCTCACTCTGATGTTATTCCGCCGCTGTGCGTGTTTGCATTTTGTGCGTGGCGCTGAGCGCTTCCTTTTACGTCATCCTTATACTATTGAGGTCATCAAAATAGGGCAGAGTATATTTTTTAAGTTTTTTTCAACTTCTTTACTGATCACTTCAAGGTTTTATATTAGATATGGGAAATATATATTTAAGATATATATTCTTTTAATATAAAACATTATCACAGCTTACAAAAAAGTTAGTTTTTAACAATATATTAGCCAAAAATCAGGCTAAAATTAAGGCACAAATTTAACTTATAAAGTTAAAAATAAAAAATATATATAAGATATATCAAAATTTAATTAAAATTTTTTTTATTTAATTTAATTAATAATAAATTTTCGAATATTTTTCAACAACTTTTATATATAGATATTTGACCTTCAGTGTGCATCCGTACGTAATCCATTTAATTCAACCAAGCGACCATGCCAGCTGTATGTGTGTGTGTGTGTGTGTGTGCCTTTGGCATTATCAACTCATAAATATTTATTGAATTTTAAGAAATTTTCAAAAATGGCTACAGCAGTAGCCACACTCGAGAAGGAGCCACCCAACACCACCAAGGAACAAGCAGCAAGGAGCAAGGAGCAAGAAGCAAGTATCAGGAACCCAATCTGCGGGCCAGCCGATGACTTGTTGTCGTCCTGCTGCCACCGTATCCGTCATCGATTTCGATTGCCTTGCTCCGCATCGCCGGCTTCTTAGCCATCCATTCATCCATCCATCCATTCGTCCATCCCCTGGTGGTTACCCAGTTTTCCATGGTTCTCTTCCTTGGGTTGGAAGACCACGTCCTCCTCCCTCAGTCGGTCGCCCCACATCCTTTTGCATTCTCTTATTTGGATTATAATTTTTTCCATTTCACATGTGAGTGCATTCCTTCTTGGTGATGACCAACCCATCACATACATATCCTCTCGCCACTCGCATGGTCACTTGTCAATTTCCATTTTCATTTCGTTGGATAGAAGTAAGATGCTGCCGAGAACCATCTCTACTTGTCCTCTGCTTTCGCGTAATCTCAGCGCTCAAGCGTTGAGCGTCAAAAGGAAATAGCCAACAGAGGAGTTAGGACAAGGTCAACGATTCCAATGGGGGGCGGGGACTGGTCACATTTCAAGTTTATAGAAAATTGAAATCCAAAACAAATTTTGTTTACAATTCAATAGAAAGAAAACTGAGATCCGTTTCTTTTTTGATCCAATGTTAAACTTTAAATCAAGAAATTAATTCAAGATCATAAATTTTCCTTGAACTTTGGCTTACTCCTCGATACCAGCAGCAAATCCCTTTCAATCCCTTCCCTGGGTCTGGGTAACCTTACCAAAAGAGGAGCAATTAATTGATTTTAAACTGGAAGCTTACTTCATCGATTCGAGGGGGCCCAGTTTGCAGTTTGCAGTTTCTCGTTTCCAGTTTTCTGTCCAATTTGTAGAGCATAATTCAGTTTAATATTCTTTGACTTGATTTCCCAGGAACTCAATCATTTCCATTTGCCAGGGCAGGCAGCACATCAGGCATGGACGAGTTGAGAGGTCACAAGCAAATGCAATTTGGAAGAGCGGTGCATCTGGGAGTCATCGGTTACAGGGCTCACCTGTGTGACCCCTTGACCCCACAGCGTTCCCACCATTCCAGTACCAGATTCAACAGAGTGTGTGTCCTGGTCAAGCGGAGATTTTCCAATTTTAATCGCATTAAATAGTCACTTAAGCCCCATCGCCACCCGCCATCGACGACCCCTATTGACCGTGTTTTACCCATCTCTCGATTTTCCCAACCATTTGGAGGCGCACTGAGATTCAAAAACACCCAATTTTCCTACCACCCACACAAACTCCGCCCCTCCACCCCCCTCAATCGCCGATGCAAAATTAACTTGTTGATGTGGCAACGACGACGATGGAGCCGAAACAACTGACAGGAAAAGTGGGAAAACGTGAGTGGGGAAACTGGGGGGTGCCAGAATCGTAGGTGAAAAGGGTTAGGAATTCGAGGAACAGACAACAGGGGGGGGTGTGGAAAATCGGTGGGGTGATCTGGCGGGGGGGTGGGTGCTGTCTGAGTTCATTTACCACCGCGCTTTGCCACGTTCAATGCTAGTTTGAAAATCGCTTCGTGTTCGAATCTTATTAGTGGTTTATAATTACAATTGTATACAGACCAATTACGTTACGAGATGAGTAACTGTGATGGGCAGGCGGTAGAGTGGGGGGTGGCGAGTCACCCCCACTCATCAGGTGTGTTTGTATCTGTGTATCTGTGTGGCTAATTAACCACCATCAGAACTGACCGTTAAGTACGCGTGTCTGCACTCCGAAAAAAACATTAAAGTCAAATGAGTACAAAAATCATAATTATTATTATTATGAATTTTTACGACTTTCTGTTGGCCAAAAATTAACTTTTTATGAGAAATTTCCTTGATTAAGTTTCTTAGTTTCTTGAAACAAAAAGAGTTTTCTTTGAAATGTGAGAAAATTTTGAATAATTTTCGACATTGGTTAACCATAAGAAGAGGTTAAACCTCCCAGAGGTTAAATCTTACAGAGGTTAAATCTTACAGAGGTTAAACCTTACAGAGGTTAAACCTTACCACCAAAGCACTTACAAAGTTCTACCTTCCCTTATTAAAAACATATTTTACCCTTTAGTTTTTCCACAGTGTTCGTGCTTAAATGGAAAGTCCAAGTGTCTCGATAATGATGTTCATTTCGTAAGCAAATGTCATAACACACATCCTCACACACACACACACATGCCCACATCCACACAGCTATCCATCCATCCACATTTATGTAAATAGCGATTGAAATTTATGCATATGTATTTGTGTTTAGCTCAGAAGACAAAGAGCAATCCCCCACACCACCCCCGCTCCTTTTAACCCACCCACAAGACCCCCTTCGAGTGTCCAAGTGCGCACATGCCTTGTAATTGAATCCACGTCTGAAATCTGTCTGTGGTCGATAATTTCATTTGAGGCTCCATTTTGAATACAAATTTATCGAGGAGTCGAGGAATCGAGGAGTCGAGGAACTAAGGAGCTGAGAAGCTGAGGAGCTGAGAAACTAAGAAGCTGGAGAGCTGAGTAGCAGACCTGTGACACGTTCCAAACAACCGCATCACGATATGCTGCCCCATATTCAATGTCCCGCCCTCGGCCGCCAAACACTGCCTCCGCTAACGACGCCTTCATCTCCACACCCTTTCTGCGGCAAAGATTGAAATATTTGCCAGATTCCCCGTCAATTTCGAAGGTCTATCCTTGGACTGGCACTACTAATTGGAATAGCTGGTTGTGGCAAGTATGTATGCCTGCCCCATATGCAACATGAGACTAAATGGGTAATAAGCGAACAGTAATAGATTAAGAGACAGAATTTTAAACCAACACCTAATCCTAATCAATTCCTACTACAAAAATATTCCCAATCTGATGGCAACCTCAATATGTTTCGGGCCAATAGCCTCTACTTTTATATCCCAATGATCAACGTCTTACTTTTTTTGAAACCCGCTCTCTCATTGACCGGGCCAATTGTTTTCCGCTAACCCGTAGTCGCCCATGCACTAGAAAATAGAAAATAGATCTTGGAATTTATCTAACGAAAAAAAACCACTTTATTATCAGTGTTTTGTATTTTTTTTTTTAGCAAGTAGTCAGACGTTTATCCGTTTTTTGTAAAGATGTGTGTGAAAGGAACAGCGACCGATGCAAACTGCGCGTCCGGCGGGACGGGTACCATCAGTGCATAGACTCGCCTCCCTGGTCGAGTCCTGTTCCTTTGCTGCGAGATTCAGACTTGGAGTGAGTTCATGGAAATGTTGAGAAATTGGGGAAAACCTACTTACGAAGAGCCACACTTCGATTGCCATTGCCATCAGCCATCGACTGGCAATGGCAAGAGTGTATTAGTGGATGATGTCTAGAAGGAAGAACTAAATTACTTTCCGATCACTTTCACTTTCAAACCTCTCGGCTGGCTTACATTACATCCCATCTAAGACTCTCGAGGTACGAGGTTCTGTTGTGTTCCCGAACGAAACCACATGTTGAAGAGTCTAAAAAGCAAACGAAATTTTCACATATTCTTCACTTGACTTTACCTACAAAGGTTACCTCTGTTGTTTCACTTTAAATTTTGAATTTAGAACTTTACTTAATTTGAATTCCGAAAGGGTGTTCTGCTGCAGTCAAGCTGTTTTACCAGACTGAATGTTTTCCGGCTGGGTCTAGGCTATATGCTTTTGACATTAGCATTTGCTCGATGACACTAGATCCGAGGGTGATGTGATTTGGAATTCTCAATCAGATCGCAATGGCCATGCAGTTTTAGTTAAGAAAAGCAAACCCGTTGACTAATTCGACTCAGTTCGAAATTGTATCCCAACAGAGAGAAAAATCAAAGTCGCTTCAGTATAGCCGATTAAAGTTGTAATTTTGATAGGCTAGAGAGATGGCTAGCATTACCTTCAAGAATCGCCCCACCCAGGTGTTGCACACCTACCAAGTCTGGCGCATTGGCAGCAATGTGGACGACAAGACTCTTGATTACTGTCTACAGGATAAGGTGGGTTTATCACACTTCTTATCAAAAGATCAGTAACCACACCTAACCAACCTCCAAGTCTTTGGACAAGTTTCATGCCAGCTTGACCCGTGGCGAGAAGGGATTGTTTCTGGTCAACGAGAGTCGCCACGGAAGTGTGGCCGTGAATGGGAGACGAATCGGCGGTCCGGTACTCATCACCTTTCGGGATGCCATCAATGGGATTGTCAGGCTCCGTTTTGGCCAAGTCGAGGGCTATCTTCGGGTATCGGGAAGCATTACTGGCTAACAAGGATACTTCGCCCTTTGGATAGATCGAGTTCTCAAATCGTTCGTTTACCTTTTTTTACTGAATGTACGTTTGCACGAATAAAGCAAGGACAATGTATGTAGCATATTGCATTGTCAAGGATAATGCATAGAATGTCGAATTTGTAGGATCTTAAGAGGGAGTAAGTGGGCAAGAATCTCATAACTCAATTAGAGATTCCCAAAGATCAAACAAAATAAATCTCATCTTTCAGCCAAGACTTATAATATCTCCGAAAGAGTGATTTTTAAACTGTTATAACCTAACCATAAAATCAGTTTCCTTCCGTGCGCTTGCGTCCTTGTTGACGAAAGAGAAAAAACAAGGGAAAACCTCTGAAAGAGAGTTCGAAAAATGGAAATTGATGGTTGGGGTTACATGAAATTGACGCTAATCAAATGGCCTCTGTGATTTGTGGCAAGCGACTCTTATACCCAGTGGTTGGTGTCCTTGCTAAGAGGATACCCCACAAATCAAGGAACTAAATTCTAAAGATAAACTTTTAAAAATCTATCATAAAATATTTTAAAAATCTTAATAAAATATTAAATTATTTTTCAAGATAAATACAACTTGTTTGTCATATTCTTTAGTCATGTGGCAGAGTTTTCTCTTCGATGTTAACGAGGACTGTGCAAAACTGTTATATACTCTAGCTAAGAGGGTAGGTAAGAGCGAGTTACTTCCTCTGTTATTTACTTGCTCTTTTCCACTTTTACCATCACTGTTATCCTTTTCTCTCTTCCTGCAGACTAAATAGACTGTTATTCTGTTAAGCAGAATCCTGTTCAATGTTACATAACTCCCTTGTGAAACTTGGCTAACAGTCGGAGGATAACCGAAGGACCGAAGGATAACCAATTATTGACAAGAAGGCGAACTTAAGGCCACTCCAAAGCAATTGTTTTCCCAGAGGCAGCGCAACTTCACAATTTGATTGAAACAACAAAATGCAAACAACAACAACAACAACAACAACGAAAAATTGCAAAAAGAAATCCAAACATACCCTTAATTATCCTTGAACACAAAAGCCCAAGAATCGTATCGACTATATATATATATAGGGGGTGAACCAAAAATCATATACCCAGGCCATAACTTGTTGAATCTGGCAGTGGGACGGACTTTCCTGCAGGCAAATTTCACTTGGAAATTCAATATCTTTACTTAGCTCGATGCGTGTGTGCGTGTGTGTGTGTGTGTGTGTATGAATTTTCCTGAATGCCTGCCTGAGCGCCTAAAAAGCAGACATAATTAGTTTATGCCGAGATTTTTGCGTCTCTTATGGCGCGACACTTGGCAACGCCATCCGGAAAAAGGAACAGGAGCAGGAGCAGGAGCAGGAGCAGGAGCTGGAGCAGGAGCAAGGACATCTCATTTGTCCCATCTAAATGCATTAAAGTTAGGGCAAAGTGCACCATACACCAGTACCACCAAGTCCTTTGACCTACTACTTAGTATTAGGCCAAGAAATTATGCTTTCGGGATCTTGCAAGGGAAAATTAGTTTAAGATTTAGGATAATATTCGGAGATTCTTTTTCTAGAATTTTCTAGAATTTCTAGAAAAAAAAACAGCAATAATAAAAAAATAAAAATATTTTAAACAAGCTTTTTGGATAAAGAAACTTTCTTTCCCACTCTTATTTCTTTGTAAAGAATATCAAGATAATAAAAACGAAATTATAGATACAAGATAAAAGTTATGAATAGGTTTAACCTTTGGACATTATATGTTATAACTCCCCATAAGACCCCATTACTTTGGTGACGTTACGTTCCTTGCTTGTTTATCTAGCGGGAAGGGGGGTTTTTGGGAGAGGGGGGTTAGGAAACGTTATCAAATGGCCGACGACTCTCTGTTGCTCCTCACAGCACAGCCAAAGTTTCTTTTGTGCCCCGCTTAAGTCTTTGCTCTTTGTTTGTGTAGGTTGAAAAATCAAAATTTTACACTCGGCTACACATTTCCAAAGGCTACCGACGAGAGTTATGACTAGAAGTCGGCAGGGGAACAAGGACTACTTAGGCCATGCATGCAAACGTATTTGTACACTGGCAAAAATTGTAATTTCTGATTTTCTGCTGAGAGATAATTAAAGGAGGTTACCAAATTGCCCAGCCCAACCCTCTTGATAAATTCACTCAACAAAATTCCAAAACACAAAAATGTAGCATACTATTAAGCGCAAATGAATATTCTTTTTACATCCAAACAGAAATTAAAACTTTTTCTTCTCTGTGCATATTTTGGTATTTGGTTATGTTTTTGTCTATGTTTGTGAGTGTGTGTGTGCCTAAGTGCGTGTTTATGGCGCAATAAAACAGACCCTAACAGGCTCACACACAAAGCGCCGGGGGGGGTGGGGTGTGTGACTTTCGGTAGCGGAGTGAGGCGCAACCTGATGGGGAGGATGCCATGCAATGGAGTGGGGGAGCTTTTCCCTGGAAGCTGGTGGCTGCAGGCTGGAGCATAGACATAAAGCAATCGCGTTGACTGCTCTTGCTGCTGTTGCATGTTGCCAGAGCCAAATGAAGCAGCCAAAGCGAAACCCAAAAAACCAAAAACTCAGACCCAGACGGAGACGGAGACGAAGACCAAGGAACAAAAGACACAGAAAGAAAAAAGTATGGTAAAGTGCTAAAAAGATGGCTAAGAAACTATACTATATGGCTAAGAATCTAAACTATCTTAATTTCAAAGTAAAATATAGAAAATTTGTTAAGTAACATCTTCCTATTTGATTTTTGCAAATTTAGTTTTCTTTTTCTTTGCAGTGCGCCTCCCAGCCAGACGAATTGCTGGCCAAAAAGAGCAGGCTAGAAAGTGATGGGGAAAGGCGGGGAGGGGAAGAGAAGGGGTGTTGGTAAAAAGAAAGAGAACGAGTAGAAAGACCCGGAGACAGTTGGAGAGAGACAGTCAGCCAGCCAGCATCTTTCCGCTTGTCTGCGGCGCATTTATGACTTTCCCACTGAGGCGCTCGGCTTGCATAGCCTGCATATAGGCTGCACAGAGACATATGTCTTATCACAGACACACAGATGCCTCAACACACACGCACACAGAGATACTCACACACAGATATACACACCAATACCAATACAGGAGACACACTCACATGGCTGGCTGCTGTCAAATGCCATACTAAACCGATAATCCAATCATAAGTTATAGTCAAATGAGTTTGCTCTTCAATAAATTTTCGCCTCTTTTTTCCCCTTGATGTCTTCCTTCTTCATGGCCAAAATGAGTTTGCCGAAAGAGTCCTTTGCTGGCTGCTGGCTGCTGCTGCCGTTGCCAAAAATACTTTGTCTCGAGGGGAGCACCATTTGAGACGCTTCCACACGAACGCAGAAACCAATTAGGAACTCCAGAGAGCCCCCCCCCAAGAAGAAAAAAGAAAACTGGCAGATCGGTTTTACAGGTTACAGGTAAAAGGTAACAGAGGTAACAGAGGTAACAGGTGAATGCCCTCACAATAATGGTTATTGGAGTTTAAAACGATTTCTCGATCTAATCAACGTTTAAACTGGCGTGTAAATGTAGCTACAGAAATGTGCTATTATTAATCAATTATCATGCTGATAATGCTGATAAATATTCCAATTTTAAGCTTCTTAACTTATCCGTATGACAAAATAGCCCAGTTAACACAGTCCAACTAATAATCTGAAAATGATGTTCAAGTCTGTGGCCATACACTGGCCAGGATTTTCAACATAATTGGCCATCATTTCAACCTGGCCCTGGTAGCGCTAGGTTCCTTATTGAAAAAAAGGCCAATAAGCCCATGGTCAGGGAAATATCCTGGCATACAGGACGTGCATATGCCGCGGATTGTTGCCTGCCTTTGTCATTGCCATTCACAAGGATGTCCTTGTGAACCACCACCAGCCCACCTCCCCCCACCATCTTATTTCCCAGTTTTCCGCCGGATTTTCCCCCTAGTTTTTCCTTTTTTTTTTTTCATCACATTTCTCGCTTTCAGGAACTGCTACATCGTTGGCTTTTATGCGTATGTGTAACAACTATTAGAAAGGAGTAGCAAACAGAATGGAACAGGAGCAACAGGAGGACCTCATGACCTCCCCTTTCCCCTTACCCCCTTCCCCTTTCACATTCACCCTTCCAAACCCTCCACCTCTCTTCCTCTACAACAAACGCGTTCTTTCTCTCATTCTTTGGTTCTTTCTGAAACATTTTCGGCCTCGCCCTCTGATGCACTGAGAAAGTAATTAGAATCTTGATAAATATTTGATCTTAATATTAGAAACTTACAAACATTTTTGAAAGTGCAAAAGAAAGTAAAAGTTAAGTTAAGTCAACTTTAAGCAGAAAAATAGCTTTCTAGGCCCTGCTGACAAAACTAACAACTAATTGACTTTCCCTTCAATTTGTCACAGGCAAAGTTTTAAAAGTTTTTCTCCCTGTAGCAAACGTTTATGATGTCCTGCAATTGTCCCTTTTCACATGTGGTATGAGTGCGGGTGCCATTGTGTGTGTGTGTGTGGGTGTGCGTGTCCTGTTCTTTTGTTACAACGATTTTTGCGCAATTTCTTTTGTGCTTTGTGCAGCCGCCGCCGACGCTTCCATTTTCCATTGCCGCTGTCATAACTGTCGCTCCACGGCAGCAACACCAACTGTAGCAGCAGCAACAGCAACAGCAACACCAACAACACCAACATCTACGGCAGCAACATTGCTGCTGAGCACATGCAATTAGTGCCAAATGTTTCCATATTTTTGCGAAAACGGGGAAGCAGGTGGAGCAGCAGCAATGCTGACCACAGCATTCAACAGCAGCAGCAACAGCAGCAGCAGCAACATTGGCCAAAGGAGCAGCAGCAGCCACTGGACCAAACATCACCAGGACGATGACGATGGGTACGATGTCTGGGCAAAAATTTCTAGGGGAAAGCGAGTGGATGGACGGAAGGAACGACAAAAAATGAGCAACATTTTCCCCGTTTCATTGTTGCCACTGCCACTGCCACTGCCACACTCACTCACATACACCACCCACACAAGCACACACACAGGGTAAAGTGAATGGGTGCAAATTATTAAGGGAAAGGAACACGATATGCGAATGCTCTGCGAAGGCTGTGG